TTACTGTGTCCAGACGCCTTCACAAAGGTGGCATATTCCCCCGCCGTCCTGAACGCTGCATCCTTTTGAAAGTTGGCCATCGGCGCCACCGTTTAGAGTGGTGAAAGTACAAAAACTGGACATCTCATCAATGAAGTCGTGTCCTCTTTACGGACGAGAGTCGTTTTAGTGCCACAAGCGATTCTCGAAGCCTATTGATTTGGAGAGGGGTCGGGACACGGTTTTATCCCCTTAACCTCACGGAAAGAGACCTTGGTCCTGGAGTTCTCGTTTGGGGAGGCATTATGCTGAACGGGCGGACAGAGCCAGTACCCATGGAGGTAGGAAGTACCCTTTCCTACCTCCATGCCAGTACCTCCTATAAACGAAGCCACGGCACGCCGCACACTACGTCACTAAAGTCGTCCTTATGTACAGAAAGCATGGTTGCCACATGAAACCACTTATCTCTGTTATTCCTTTAAGAGGAGAGAAAATGAAAAGTAGTTTTTATTTCCTTGCATAAGGCTTACTATATCGTTTGGTTTTAAATATATATATATATGTGTGTGTGTGTGTGTGTGCAAATATATATATTCTGATTTGATTTCATCGACTGCATTTTCTAATTTCAAATACCTAACCTTACTTTCCTTATATATTTTTACGCTTAAAATAATAACAGTATAGTAAAGAAATTAATTCAACATACTTCAGATTAGTAGTAATAAATATATACTGAATATCTGGCTGATGCTGGTTTGCTTTCTGAAGAATATATATTTTTAAATATTTTCTTCCTTAACAAGAGAGGATGCATAATTAAGCAAGTTTACAGTTGATTAACACTAAAAATCCTTAAATTAATTTTAATAATCAATTTTTAACGGCATTTTCTGTTTCTCATAAATACAAATTTACACATAATTGTTTAGTCATTTTCCGCTTTTTTTTTTTTTTTTCACTTCAGTGTGGGACTGAATTTCTTAACAGATGAGAAACCTGGAGAATGATTTGAAAAATACTATTTTTTAGCATCTATCAATATTTATTCATTGGTAGTTTTAAAATACGGTAGCAAAACATTTCATATATTTAGGCATTTTAAATTAGATCATTATTTGAGAATACATAACTGCATCTTCCCCAATAATAAAAAAAAGAAAAATTGTAAAAATTCAACAAACTTGACACTTGCTAGGAATTCAAAATTCTTATGTTTCATTCTTATTGTTAAATGTTTGTAACACATCCCTTTTGTCTAATTATGTGCATATAATTTTTTTTTTTTTTTTTTTTTTTTTGTAACTTGTAAATTTTTGTTCCTGAAAGCATTTCATTGTAACTTATTTGAGAATTTTTTAGCAAATGATAAATATGAAGTTTATATATGTACTTACTGGAATTTTTTATCAGGGTAATCAGTAGGAACTTTTAAAACATCTAAATAGATCAAATGTCCTCAATTCTTAGAATTGAAAGAATAACAAGTTTTATGTATTTTCCTATTAGAAATGAAAATAAATATAGCCTGATTGTTAAGATGTAAAGTAAGATTTAAAATTTTCAAAATAATTCAGATTTTTATTAAAGGAAAGCAACACAATTAGGATTCAAAACATATAAAAAGGATTTTATTTATTTATTTTTTTGGCCTGAATTTTTTGTACTAGTAAATTTATAACTGGAAGTAATAGGAAATGGCATTGCATACTACAGTGGGAAAAAGGGTGGGATGACTATTTATTTATGTAACTTGATGCTACTTATTTTTTATTACAGTTAAGTCTCTTTAATATCAAAATAGTTTAGTATAACTGCATGAAGCCTTACAGCTGGGAAGGATTAAAAATATTTTTTTACTCAATTTATTTTTGATAAGTTTTCCCCTGTATATGTACAACCACATCATTAGAAATTTTAATTCCAAAGTATTTCATTTTAGTTTTGACAGAATTTAGCATGTATTACAATGAAAATATTGTATAAGAATACAGTGAATTTCCTCCATAAAAATGCATGAATATCTATAAAAATAACTCATATGGAATTGTAGGTAAAAACAAATTGTATTTATTTTCTTCTTACAGTGTAAAATTAATGTAATAAACATGTCTGCTTCAATTAAAATAATATTAAAAAATTGCAAGATACTGATTTCAAAATCTAAACAATAGTAATATTAATTGGCAAAGTATTTTATCTTCAAAATCAATATTTCTCTAGTTTACAATAAATACACCTATTTTGCACAAAATGATATTATATAAGAGACTTAACAACTTTAGCACTTTACTGTCATAATTAGTTAACTATTACAAATGCTTTTTTTGTGTGTGTGTGCATACATTTTGAAAGAGTTGGTAAAGATTTCACAACACAAATAGAAAAAGCACTATTTTTTTATTTAACATACTATCCACATTCTGCAAAAAATATTCATTTAAATAAAATGAATTACAAGTTAAGTCTGAAGATAATAAGAAACAATAGATTAGTGTCACTATCTTATTTTATAAAGTTTACTAACTTATAAACATAGTATATGTCATTTCTGCTGTATGCATAAATTATTTTTTTAATGTTTTCAATTTCCGTTGCTTATTTAAATTGTTACTTAAAAGATTATCATTCAACTTTTTGCAGTAATTATTTAGAAAAATATTCGTTGATGCTTGTATGATGTTTTTTCAAAATAATTTGAGGGTCATGAAGTTTAGGACAGTCATTCAACTCTAAAAAAAAATTTTCATGAAGTAAATTTTAGAGTAATTTTACACACTGTAACTCGTGGATTTGCCGAAAATAAAAATTTTTGCTCATATTCATCTGAAATAAGTTTCTTAACAACAATAAAATTGTATATAACAGCATGTAAAATATCAGGATGAGGATACATAAGACCTCTATCAAAAACCTTAATCCATGAATGAATATTTTCATCGTTTTCTAAAGCTAACTCCTTATCAATAGTAATATTGGATTTACATACATCACATTTTAACTTTTTTAGCATACTATAACAGCAATATCCAGCTATATAAGTCAAAATAGGTACATCCAATTTTATGTCGTGTATATCACTATCTTCAACTGTTATTTCATCTATGAATGTTTGTACATCAGTGTCATCAAAAGTTTGTTCTTCAGTGTCTTTAAAATCAGATACATGAAGAGGAATATTTCCAAATTTTGAAGAATTTATTAGGGTTGGTAATGTACTCTGAAGTCTTAATTTACCCTCTATTTCATAAACCTGTCTGATAGAAATATTATGGTGAGCTCCAGCCAGTTGCCTGTACTTACCAAATCTAGCCTCTAACATATCTGTTTGTATTTTTCCAAGTAAAAGGTATTTAAAACCCAACTCATTTATACAATACCTTGATATCTCAATTAAAGCATACGTTGTATGGTATACTGCAAAGTGAGTTTCTTTGGTTAGGCAACCAGAGGTTAAATTCAAATTTTTCCAACTATCTAGCCAATTCAAAAAGTTATTCATAAAAACATATTTTTCATCATTTTCTGCCACAGTGAAAGGTGTTTCAAATACATTATTTTTATGAACCCCTTTAAAAATAGATTTCACATTTACAATTGACCACCATGTGTTTATTATTTTAATAAAGTTTCCAGTTTCTTGGAAATTTATTATTTCTTTCTGCTGCCCAAAAGAAAATAATGCTTCAACAACATTATCATTAAAAATCTGCAATGCAAGCTTTACACTTTGTTTTTCTAAGTTAGTTGGATATAGAGCTTTTATTGTCAGACCATAAGCATACTTTAATAACTTACCAGTTTCAGATTCATGTAATTTTTTAATACAAGAAAAAGATGCAGTTTCAATATGTGAAGCATCATCAAAACTTGGGAAAAACATACTCTGATTATTATTTTTTTGATTTATCCAGTTATTTCTAATGCATTTTAAAATATGCACTGTATCAATAATAAAAAACATTGGCCTAGATTTGTCAACAGGGTTTTGATAAACAATACTAACTTTAGGTGGTTCTGAAAACAGAGACATAGCCTTTTTATTAATCGAATTATTGTCAGTGACAATAGCAATAATTTTAAAACCCAATATTTTCTAATCCCACAACAATTTTTTTAATATAAATATACAAATTATCCGCACTAAGTGTTTTCACCGGCAAAATATGTACAACATCCTTATAAACAGATAATAGGCTGCGAATCATGAAAACATATGCACTAGACGCAGCATTTTTGCAATTATATGCCATTCCACACAAATTACCACCTTTATAATCAAATGCTTGATTTAGATGAATTTCATCAATCATTAAAATAACAAGCAGATCTTTTTCTGATAGTTCTTGAAATTTAAATTTTATGTAGCTTAGGAACTTTTGGTTGTATTGTTCATTTATTGGATATATTAAAATCTGAAAAAATTTTCTGAATGGTCCGTGGATGAGGCATAATAATATTTTCTGAATTTCGAATAAAATTATATGCATGTGGTGAAATTGTGTGAAGTAAAGTGGAAAATATTAGAAAGTCTGCAGAATACCTATATTGTTGTTTTTCTGAATTCAAGTTTGATAGTTGCTCAAGGAGAAAATTTATTTCATTGTTTTTATGTGGAATTTTCTCTTTTAAAATTGTCATTAATTCATTTACAATTTGTAAATAATTTTGAATACTGTCTTCAGATGAATCATTTGAGGCAAATAGGTCTAATTTCTCTAAAATACTTAAAAGATCTTTAAGGTTGTTAATTTTTGATGGGATTACATATTGCTTCAGTGATTTAATAGGTATATTTCTAATTGCTACAGATATATTCAAATTACAATCAATAAATAATGATTTTAGAATTCTTGGATGATTGTCATTAGAAATATTAAGAATCATAGTATGTATAGGCCTGTGTATAACTATCCAGTTATCTGGTAAATTCACAGTATTAAAAAAAATTTTTAGTTCATCTAAATTATAAAACATTTGTTTTCGTTCATACTCTTCCTTTTCAGCTAAGCTACAGGCTAAGGCTTTTTCGAGTGCATCTTGTTCTCTTTTGAGTCTTTTATGCTCTGGTGATTCCCTTGATGAAACACTGGAACTAAGATGACTCGGACCATCAGGAAAACAGACTTGGAATTGCACCCATTCTTTAAACGAGGATATGACAATGGTATAATGATCTTCTTTCCAGTTTTCTCATCAAAGAATTCAGTTTGCCTCAGAACATCCTCTTGCTTGAAGTGAAGTTCACACACCTTTTAATATGAAAAAGAGCAAATAAATAAACATGCATCAAAAGGTTAAACAATTATAAAATCGTAAGCATTCGCCATCCTTTAAATACATGCACAGTCTAATAAGGGTTTTATTGTATTTTTATTTAATCATGGCAAAGCACTCAAGAGCTATCTGCTTAAGGGAAGGGTTACCGTTGTGGAAAACGTTCATCATTTAATTTCTTTAAAAATAATACAGGGCGATAATGTTTGGATGGTAACAATTTGAAGAGATATAGCCATTTAAAGTGCACAATGCAAAAAAGTGATGCAGCCATTTAGAGTGAATAATGCAAAATCTTAAAACAAAACTATTAACTCTTTTGGGCTAAAAAGAGCCATGGATGCTGTCATAAAGTTTTGAAAAGTGCAAATAATTAGCACATGTTTGTTGTCATATGTCAAATGCATATAACATAAGTAATATTTAATTGATACATCCTCAGGTAACATACAATTGCTCATGTATATATAATTGCTACATCCTAAATATTTCTTTCTTCAGTTATTTGAAAACAACACTTGGTTATGGAATTACATTCAAAATGGTGATAATACAATTATAAAAAGAATAAGATTAACCATCAGTTGATGGATAAGAATAAGATTAACCACATTCATTCGTACCATTCAAATATAAAGTTACTGGGCTCTTTTTCTAAACATTTTTACAAATGATATATGTTCACAACCAGAAGTACAAATTTACTTGTGTGCCTATGAATGTTTATATTTAAGAGCATAAAACATCATTAGTCATTAAAAAAATTCATTTTTCTTGAATTATTGAAAACAAGTATAAGTGCTAAAATATGATACACAAAGAAAAAAAACAAGAATTTGTATATTTAACAGTTTATTTGCAGTAATTAAATATTTTAGGCTATTCTTATGTAATTTTGGAGTGAAATATTCACATTCATCAATCGTGTTTGACATTATATTACTGTGGAAGGCTCACTAGATTGCTTATTTTCCATATAATTTTCTTAACTTTTTCAAAAATTTTAAAAGTTATATAACTTATTAATACAATGAAACATTTTCATATTCCACTGCAACAAGTATAAATAAACAAAACCCCTTATATAAGTGTTTTTTAGATAAGGAAATTAATGTAAATTTCAAGCCCACAAGAACTTACTGCCAGTAGCAAGTGAACCACTGTAACAAGGTAGGTGTTATTGGCATAAGAAACTCGTACTTTTATAAATGTGTGTGTGCATGAAACAATTTAATAGGCTAATTAGGATTTATGCTAACATGTAGTGAAAACTAGTAAGCTTACAATCTTAGGCAATATTATTTGAACAAGACAGTTTAATTTAAACACCTTGTAACTTATTCCAGAAATTAAAATAATTACTGTCAAAACTAGTCCATTTATACGATTGTTTTCTTTTACATATATTTCATAATTTTTTTAAGGATTTTAGAATTAATAAAGTTTAGAACATTGCATAATTAGCATTAATTTCCTGTTCACATGAGTTACGAGCAAAATGCATTCTCAAATGCTCCTAGCATATAATAAATGGGCATTGCATACATTCAGTTTTAAAAAGAAAAAAAAATAAAAATAAAATAGGTGGAACGAGACTTATCTAAATCAAAAGAAATAGTATACCCAAACAGTTAAATACTTATATCTAAAACAACTTTAAATTAACGGCTTTAAAATTACGACTTGAAGCATTTTATATTTATCTACTTAAAGTTATAATATGAACATTTATAAGGTTGGTGGATTTTCTATTGACTAGTTATTGAGAAAAGGGTCCATTTTATAATCACTTTAAAATTCAGTATAAGCTCTGTATAACATAAATTCCTGAAAGATTAATCAATCCCAAATCAATGTGCGTGTTATAAAGATCCCGACGCCGAAAATATAAATTACTGAAAGAATTCATTAATAATACTCATTCATAATAAGAGAAATTTCTGCCTAGTAAATAAATATATAACTATGCTTGTATAGAAAGTAATTAAAACTTCGTTTTATTTTCTATGGTTGAATGCAATGGAACTTTAGTAAATTATTTCCCTTGCAATCAGAATTTTTTGTTTTCACATTTTCAAGTCATGTTTCTTTCAATGACATTAATCTTTCAGGAATTTTCTAATTTAAAAATGAAATGCATGCTTACCTTTGAATGTTTCGTAGGCTTGAATCCATCTTTTCGTTTGCAGTTCCAAATCCATTGTTTTCTCAGTTGTTCTTCCGTAGGAAAACTAAATACAGCCACCTTCGGGCCATTCTTATAATTTCCTTTGCATGTTGCAACACAGCATTTATGTGGCATAATAAAAAATAAATAAAGTAATTTAAATAAAAAATGTTCTATTAGAGCACACTACACTTTCAAACAACAGTCAGTTCACTACGCTACGACACCGAAGTATATTCTTTCATTCTTTGTCGCGAGGAAGATGGTAGGAATGACGACTTAGATGACGTCAGACCGTTCAAGCAACCCTAGAGGCTTGGCTTCGTATATAGGAGGTACTGACAGAGCTCCACGTTTTCGACAGAGGTTCTGTAACCGGAGATCAAATACTGTCAGGTGGGGTGATCCTGCCCCATGTGCTTCTGTTCTGAGGTGCCATTGCAGCAGACTTCGTTTTCATGAACGAAAATGCACTGCCACACCGGACTTTTTCTGTTCAGAAACTATTGGAAAGTGAAGATGCCACTCGAATGGATTGGCAGACGTACTCTTCTGATTTAAATCCCATAGAACACGTATGATTTGGGGAAACGTGTTGCGGCACGTTTGCATCCTCCGGGGAACACTCAAGAACTGAAACACATGTTGATTGAGGAATGGACACGCTTACCTCAAGATCTGTTGGACAATCTGGTGCTGAGTATGGTGAGACAGGGCGAAGCAATCATTGCAGTAAGAGCATATCTCATACTAAGAAACATCTGCTTGCTGTTCTTCGTCTTATATAGACAATCATGTGTAACGATATTGGGAGTTCAATAAAGTCTTCTTCTGTTTGATTCCATACTGTATGCATTGTGTTCGTTTTTGCGCAACTATGCTTTCATTATCGTTTAAATACAAAAAGCTGTTTCTCATTTCTGAATTTTATGTCTCTCAGATGATTTCTCGTGGAGTTATGACAAAAACCTGTTGTTTAAGTTTTTCACACCAGTGTAATATCAAAAGTTGACTGATTCCTCATATTAATATTTTCAGCCCTGCGTTTGCCAGATTTATAAGAGGTGTCTATTTTATCGGTAGCAGATATTTTTTTTTAGCATGATATGACCCGCACTACTTCAAATTGTCAGTTAGATTCATAACAGTCTAATGTGACAGTTGCAGAAAGTTGAGCATTTTCCAGGTTTGTTGTCAACATGTTATCAAGGTGAGGTAGACCACAATCACGTATCTCCAGTTCTAGGAATTCATTCATTCCAACAAAACGTCAGAAGCCCTACGCAGTTTCTGTACATGAGGTAAAATATGGCAACCTTGGGCACTGATTGACCACGTTGACCAACTAAAGATGGTCAAGAACAGCGTTGTAAACTGCAGATTTGCGCAGGACATCCCAGAATCCAGAATGAGAAATGCAAAGGTATCTGTTTAAGCAAAAAGTAAAAAATCTGATTTGGACACCTCATGACTTCCTTGTATGGCCCATTAAATTTTACACATTTTTTTGCTGCACGCACTTCATTTAAACTTATTTTTTCTCGAATTATTCTAACTTAATTAACCGATTCTTTAAGGCAATTTGAAAACGATATGAAAAATTGCAAATTTCGAAATTAAATATCTTGGTTAGTTTTTGTCGTACGGGGATCAAACCTTTTATAATTTCATTTTTTTTTTTCATAATGGATGTAAAACTTTCGCAAGTTTTTCGACATTTTCAAAACACGAATAACTAGGTCCAACGATTGCGAAAATAAAAGCCAGATAAGGACTTTTAAGCCAGGTAAGGCGGTGGATATACTTACAGATGTAGATTCCGTATGGCCAGGTAAGGCGGTGGATATACTTACAGATGTAGTCCTGTAGAACTGGACTTCATAAGATAGCTGAGAGCTTAGCGGTTGTCCAGGAGTAAAACGGATATAATAACACAAAGTGACCGTTTAACTCGTACATTTAATGAAGATTATGAAGGAAATGATTACGTAAGTAGATGAAAATACATGAAAATTAATTACAGATGTAGAGAAGTTTTTCACATCAGAGAAAACTGTCTCATACACGTCCTTCATTTCAATGGCGACTCTTTCTGCTGTTGCACGCAAAACAGTTCCATTTATTCGCATCCAGTGCCATGGTGAAATATGACATTCCATGTATACATTATTTTGTTTCGAATAGTGTTGCCACTGCTCGCTTTCAGATCGTCGGCTTTGTTAACCAAAAATTCATTCCATTCATTCAAAAATTCATTCATCCATAAAAGAAATTCGAGATTCAAAATTCGGGCTTTTGTGTGTGCATGTTCGGGTGGAGGACTACGCTATTCAGAATTTAATAGCTCTAGGTACCGCAGTTTTTTCAGAATGCATACATACATGGATGCAAATTCTTTATTAATTAATTTGTTTAACAGTAACAGAGGGCGATGATATTTGGTGGCAACAATTTGAAAAATGAAGGTCATCCTAGAATCCAGTATGAAGAATGCAAAGATGTTTATAGTAAACAAACGCAAAATCCTACTTCGAGACTAATAACACCTTTTGGGCTACTGAGAAATTAAAAGCTTATTCATTTTGGTAATTGTATTGTTTGGGGTAAAAAAATCCTTTAGTTCTTAAATCTACATAAAAAGCTAGTCACATTTTACCAACGATTAAATTAAATTTTTTCCCTTTCTGTTTCTTTTAAAAAAATCAGGGTAATTTAAACTAATAAGAGTGTTAAATAATCTTCAGGTCATTGTCATCGTTGATGACTGTGATTTAAACAACTTGATTAATTTTTTGGAATAAAATAATTACTTAAGCATTCTTCGAACTTCTTGCAGTTCTAAATTACTATTCGCAATGCTGAACTTGAAATTACTTTTTTCGGTTTGTTTTCTATCCAAAGCTCTTTTTTCTAGAGCTGCGTGTACTTCTACTTACCTTGTGCACGAACAGTAGGCAACTTAATTGCTTTTAAATTACTAACAGCAAACTACTACCTAATTAGCTAAAGCAATTGTTAAATACTTCCTGTTTCCTTTATTGTTGCTGTTTCTTAACACATGAGAAATGTTAACGGAGAAATAACGCGAGAAGTGTTTAAAATGCATTGAGCTAGCCTTCTGTATATTTTTGTTATTAATGATAACTTTTATTTTCTATACATGCGGTAAAAGGTAAAATGAAATATCCTCGCCGGGACTCGAAACTCGACCTCTCGAATACACGCCGAGTGTGCTACCGTTACACTACGAAGGCATGCAGAAAGGAGGAATAAAATACCTTATATACACCCCCTTTTTAAAGGGTGACTGGGAATTAAGGACCCTGTCGCCAAATCATGGTGGTGAAGAATCATCATCCATCACCTTTTAGTTCGTTATCACAGTATTTACGGTCATCATCATAGTATCGTCATCATTTTAGTTTCATCATCCATCACCCACTGTAGAGTCACGAAGATTATCGATGTCAGGAAGCTGAAAAGTGTTCAGTGCCCTCACAGGGACTCGAACCTGGACCTCTCGAATACACGCTGAGTGAGCTACTGTTATACCACGAAGGCAGTCAGAAAAGAAGGAGAAAATTCCTTATAAATCTAATATACATTTTAAAAAAAAATTCCTCTCATTTAGAAAAATTCAGTCATGTATAAAAGTATATACACTCAACTCCCGATTTACCGGAGACATATTAAGCGGGTTGCGGCTTAATCGGAGCGCCTCTGTTATGGCAAAACACTCGAGGGCTATTTGCCTAAGGGGATATAGACCTTTGTGAAGGACCTTCTAAGGGAAACTGGCTCGTATATACGTTAGACATGGGGAACGCACGAAAATTCTCATATAAACAGCTTGTTCGCTGGGATTCGAACCCTGTACTGAACGATCAATGCTCAGCGACTTCACCCCTGGACCCATTTTTAACAGCCTGACTACAGTTATAAATCCTTTCCTTATGCTAACGCGCTTTTAATTTGGCGATACGATGATTGAAGAAGTTCTGGTGTATGAGTAATTTTTTAACTGTCACCGAAACAGAATTTGCTATTTTTAGAACCCGCTTAGAAGCTTCAAAGGAAAGCTTAGATTTTACTTTTTCGTTGAATAAGTGGTTATGAATTATTGTAATCAGTAGCGTTTGCAACATGTCAGAATATAAAACGAAAGCGTGCTGTTTTTTTCTATCCATCAGAAGCTCGAAACGATAAGTAAAGTAGAGAATGGATCAAACATAAAATCAATGTCTTTGCAGTACGGAGATGGTGCAGATGCGGTTTGCGTGTGCGTCTGATTTTGCCGTGGGAATGAAGGAAAGTAAAACAATGAAAAAGGTCAACCTACGAGGACTTGGATAAAGCCATGCTGGAATAGTTTACTCAGCAAAGACCAAAGACAAACCCAATAAATGGACTGATTTGTGCAAAAAAAAAAGCTAAACATTCTTCTCAGCAATTAGGACTTAACGACGAATTCTGTGCATCATCAAGATAGTGAGAGGTTTTTGCTTTACTGGCTTTAGATTAATCATGATTATGAATTAACTGTGTATATCCCCCCTATTAGCCAGTAAATCGAGAGTTGATTCTAAATAATCAGGAAATAAAGAAGAAAATAGTATCAAAAATTAAATTACAAGCAACCCAGACGGAAAGTACATAATAGCTGCATATTATAGTCTGTTGCTTTAAAATAAGCACTTCAAGGTTGTTGCCCGCCTACCCGATTGCGATCTTAACTCGTGCCGTTATCACCAGACATCACTTATTTTCTCTATGTCTTTTGAGGCTGTAATTGTATCTATCTACGTAGTTTTCATGTAGCTAAACGGAAATAAAGTGGGGATGGAAATTATTTGACTCAACCTTTTTACCGTAACTGTTGTTACCATGGTTACGAGTCAAATCGGGCGGCAAAAAGTAACCACGAATTTCATATTTTACAGTAACAGGTTATACTGCGAAGATGCTGCCATTACAGTATCCTTCATAAAAATGCTGGAGGTATTTATTCAAATATGTCAAGATCACAATAATTCCAAGACAAAATACTTCACAAAAGGGATTCCAATCCAAAGGTGCCCTTGTCATTGTGAAAATCCGTTTTGAAGTTAGTAACGTCCTTAGCAAATTCTACAAAATTTTAGACCCTCACATTCGTTATGTTACATTATGTTATATGCAAGG